TACATTTGGCTGATCATGGAGGGTTTGTTAATTTCGCTTTGTTTGCTGGATAAATGATAGCTGAATATGTGATTTTATTCCTGATGTAGCTGTAACTGACATCTATAGATTGATTCAGTACAAATGTCTTTTGTTAGCTCAACCCAGCTTTATTGATATTTGTGCTCTAAATAAGTATTACGTCGGATCACTTGTGTATTCAGCTTTCCACAGAACAGGCAAAATAATGAGCATGATTAGGAGATGGACACGGTTTCAATGTTGAGCCTGTAGACTACATTACCTGAATGCCATGCTGAACTGAATTAGGAATAAACATGCATTGGCACGTTTCAAATGTTAGCTATTGCATCGTTAAATCTACGGGTAATCTTGCTCTTGATTGAAAACACAGTTGATGCTAACTTTTTCGTGTTAGTGAGTGAAGTGACCCTGGGTTGAATCCAGTGGTTTGGGTGGGTCGTAGATCTAAATTAAGGACACACTGATAAATTGCTACAGCATGGTGCTGTATCTACTCAAACATTTATTTTCATATCCATATTTACTTTATATGACAGGTATTGAAAATGTATACATGACTTCATAAGCCAAAATGTATTGGGCACCCCTAAACAAATTAAGCACACCTTGCAAAGTTTTGTTCTGCAATGGTTAATGTCACTCGTGAAGATGTCAGATGAGACGTCAACAGTTGAAAATGTGTTGAAAACAGTTCAACAGTAATATAGTTACCGCAAGTCTTCATCTTGTAACCTATAATTGTGTAGCAATATTTTAAAACGGCCACTGAAAGAGATTGAGAAAGAAGAACTGTTCTATAAATATAAGTTTCAGTGTTGAGCCAAGTTTCAGTGTTGAGCTGTCAGATCAGCTGTTTCAATCAGAGTTGGTTATTGTGATTTGAAACCTCTGATCGACCAATCAGAATCAAGTTTTTTCTGAATTCCTAGTAGAATAAATTTTGCAAAAGATGAAATCCAACTTACATGTATGTATGTATGTATGTATGTATGTATGTATGTATGTATGTACTTGTAAGAACACTAAAAGACATAAGATAACAAAGGTGGAAACTTGACAAGGGAAGACAACAGTTAATTGGACAGGATAGGTGATAAGCAATGGACAATTGAAAGCCAACACATAACAGTGGTGATAGGGATGGACAATTGGAAGCCACTGATTGGTCATAGCATAGGCAATGGAAATGGACAAATGGAAGCCAGCTGGATAATTAGCGCAGACAATAATCAATGCAATAAGTCCCAAGCACTGGGCAGATAGATTTCCTGGTCATGGTTCATGGCTGGCTCCTGATGTCAGTGGCTTCTTGTAGTTTTCTTTGTTGCCGATTTAGGGGCGGTGGGTTAGCTGTAGCCCAGTGGTTAAAGTGTTAGCTCGTCACGCTGAAGGCCCGATTCAATTCCCAACATGGGTACAGTGTGTGAAGCCCATTTCTGGTGTCCCCCACCGTGACATTGCTGGAATACTGCTAACAGCGGCGTAAAACCATACTCACTCACTTGTTGCCGATTTAGAGATTCTTTCTAGATCAAATAGGATAATAAACCTTTGAGGAAACAAACGGTTATACTTGCAGTTTGAAATCATATCCTGCTTTATTTAGGCAGTCGGATATTCATTGCAAATCAAGTTGTACAATATGGCTTGACATTTCTCAGACTGCAGACAGATGCTAGACACTTAGTATCACCAGAGGGATGCCTTTCCTCTTACAGTTGTAGTTTCTGATCGCTGGAAATCGATCGGTACAATGATTTGACTTTGGCTGTGTGTACCCCTTCAGTACAGTTTACAGCATGCAAAGTAGGTTATGCATGGGTGCTAAGTATCGTAGTAAGTGTCCATGGTTATACTGGTCTAACAGTAATCTGCCCTTGCTGTTATTTAAATGCAGAAACAAGATAGCATTGACATATAACGGGAAGAAATAATATGATATGACCAGACCTAAGATCTAATGTAGACAGGAATGGTTGACTTGATGCTGGATAGTCAACCCTAGTTACAGTTAGTAACTCCCTAACTAAGCTCTAGGATGCTTAGCGTAGCTGATATATGAACATAGTTTGTTTAACCTTACATTTGTCCTTGCCTGTATCAGAACGCTTCGGCTCATCTCATAGTCAAAACTAATCATTGTCTTTTTTTTTTATTTATACTTTTAGCAAAATATATTTCTACACACATTCCAGGTATTATATGTCAATTGTGTCTGAAATATGTAGAGCTTGCTTGACTAATTTACTAATAACCTTTTAATTAATGTTTCTTTAATGTACTTTTCCAAACTATGTTAATATTGTTGAAATTATCATTTCGAAGAATGACAGATTATGTCATGTCTTCATCTTTTTACCATACATCCAAAGAAACATAATTATGATATCTGTGATGCAAGCTTGTTTTCTATCTTGCAAGTTTATTTTGTCATGGAGGTTGTGTTGAATTTGGACCTGGGTGGCAATAAAGGTCTTGTTTGTGGCATAACACCAGTCCTACTCACGTGTTGCCTTGGATTGTTAGACTGGCGTGATTTGTAACAATCATATTCAGGTTGGAAAACAATTAAGTGTATGCATGTTATGATGTATATCTTTCAATATATCAGAACACTTTAATAAACAAGTATTTCCCACAGGGGCATGCATCCCAGGGAAATTATTTTCCAAAGTCTCTCAATATTTAATATCTTTTTTTGCCATTGTATTGGAGCTCACAAAGCAACCCTCAGCAATATGACATCATGTCATTGCATTGTTGCAAATAATTGAACATGTTGAAGGTTTGTGTCCTGTGTGATTAATGTAGAAAGTCCCCTGCTATTTTCTGGTTCTGGACTTGCAAATTAATTCATTTGGACCTGATGAATCAGTAATGTCTTGTAGGTCACAAGTTGTTCTAATGACAGGATCTATCTAACTTGAAGCCCAGGGGACTGTCAGTTATGTTGTTTGGAGGCGCAATGTATGAACACATCTATACATGCTTGTCCCCCAGGACTCGCAATGGCAATCATGTGCTTTCATTATCAACGTGTATGCATGTAGGAAGCAATATGTTGCATTGGTTGATCGCTGTAATGTTGTTGTATGTATCAAAACAACACTGGAAGTTCCCCCTGCAATGGTCTGGATTAACAATCATCAGGAATAGCCAAATTGTAATACTTCGTAACCAATCACTCATAGTAATTAAGATATCAGCTTCTGTGTTTTATTTCTTTGACATAGACGTAAATAATATTTTTTTCCTATTTGTTACTAAGCTGTCTATATTTGTGTGTGGAATATGCTTTAGCAAAACATTGGTTGTTAGTGCTTTGTGCCATTGAGTGTTATCTGACAGTTACTAGCTTACATCTAACCTAAGAAAGCTGTTTAAGTTTTTTGTTTGTTTCACTGACATTAATCCAAATATCTAATCCTCTAAAGTCTGGTATAACACAAATGGGTTCTGCTGCTCTCTGTATTTACATGATGGTAGGTCTCTTGGGTCTCCCTCGTGGGAAGTCTGGGGCAGAATTGGTCCAGAGCACCTCATGCTTGATGGAAGAGGATGGATGGCCTCGAGCCTTGCCAGGCTGACTGCATGATACTGTACCCTGGTGAACGGGTGTCATGAACACTGTATTCCCTGGCCTTGAATACTACAGGCTGCTGTACTATAGCCGGGATGTTGCCGACTGTAACACTTAACAACATAATACATATAACGCTCAAAAGTTAAAGAACACATGATTTTTTCTTATGCTTGATTTACCAAAAGTCAAACAATGGTGTTTTCAACCTGACAGCTTGACTATAGTCATCAGGTGTCCATGAACTTACTTTGAGTAGAACATGATGGTCACATTGGAGATGTGAACTGAAATGTCACAGAGCAAACGTTTTGCCATATGAGCCACGACATGGTTGGGGTCTAACCAAACAGGTGCTGTTTTGCATTGACTCGGTGCTGCTTGCTTTGTTTTCATTATTGCCCAGTGAGCTTATGCGTGTGGGGGTATCTCATTCAAGAGACAAAAGCCTAAATTACATTGATATTAAATAATTTAATTTCTAACTCTGCTACTGACTTATAAGAGATCCATTTTGTTTAACTTTTTTCTATAACTGATTACCTTTTCCAGTCTAACTAAATTCAGATCTTTTGCTCTGATACTATATACCTCTGTGTGTGAATATCTGAGGATGCCTCCATAGGAGGTCACATTCACTGAATGTTCTGATCAAATAATCAGCGATGAAGCTTATAAATTTTCAGTATGGGTAAGTGAATTATTCAGACCAGCACGTCTGATTTCTGTATCCTGAAAATGAACTAAAACAACAAGTTCTGAATGTAGCTAAAAAAGGCAGTGCCATTAAATTGTTTGCATATTTAACACACCCTGTCGTTTCTGAGTGCCATGGTATCTTCATCCAAAATAGATTACCATCAAAGGACTATTTGTGTTTTGTGGGGGTTTCTTTTGTACAAATAAACATTTCTGAATGGAGATGCTAGAGAAATAAAGCCAAATCGTATATGAAAGCTTGTATCTGATTGAATCAAGAATCAATGTATCCTTCTTAGCTCGGCCAGTAAACGTTTCCTCAGGGTTCAACTGATGCAACTTACCATGGAGGTGTCACATTGGTGTAAAGATCTGATTTTGGTGACATTTTATCCTTTTCCTTTGACTCCTTATTTATTTATGTGGTACCCTGTGTACCTCCTGCTTGTGGTCTCTAAGGAGCCAGTCAGCAGTAGGTTGGAGCAGTGTGTAGTTGAGACTTTAAATGCTGTTGTGATATAGCTGTCATATTGCTGACCGCGACAATAAAAATTAACTAATTCTTGAACATTATGCTTTATCATTTACACAAGTTTACGTAAAGTCCACTTGACACATGGATACACTAAGGAGAAATAGACCTATGATTATCTATTCCAATGCGTATACTCGATACATAACTGTGTATATTCATCAGGTCTTCCCTACCTTCTGATGAAGAAGTGTTACACAGATGCCTACATCCTTCATGAAGATTCAGTCAGGCGGGCGAAGAAGGAGGAGATTGATGGACTCTTCTATCCTGAAACAAAGGAGGAAGAGGATAAGATGAAGATAGAAATGCCGATATCCCTGATCACTGATCCCAGGAAGGAAATGGACGACACATGGACCAAGCTTTTCAAGTTCCAGCCACTGTGGAAAATCAGAAACTACTTTGGGGAAAAAATTGCCTTTTACTTTGCGTGGTCAGGGATGTTGATTACAACACTGTGGATCCCTACCCTCTTTGGGTTAGGCATTTTCGTTTATGGACTGGTATTAAGGTAAGTATTTATTAAAAGTTTTAAACATGCAGATTAATAGAGGTTATCACGCGAGTGTGTTTGGGGATGGTAAATATCCTGCATTAGGAATAAACATTGTATTTAGCGAGCCTTGGCGAGCTAAATACATAGTGTTTATTCCTAATACAGGATATTTACCATCCCCAAACACACAAGCGTGATAACCTCTTTATCATTTAATGTCATTCTTTAATTCTGTGCTTCAAAATCGCTTTCCCTCTCTCACAAACATTACCGAAACATTGCGAGTTTTCCTGGAATGCGCGCATTAATATTTATTACGTCACAGGGTAAGTGATGTGTCAGTCGGACAGTGACAGTAGCCAATATAGTTCCAACTGAAATCTGTTTCTTATACAGTGGCGAAGCAACATATACGCAAAACAACAATTGTTTTTAATTGCCTTTCGCGGCAATCCATCGGTCTGTCCGCTAGAGTAACTGCCCTTTGTCAAAGGGAAGCTACTCTAACCCTAGTCTATGAGACGTCACGGCCACGGTCAGACGTTGTTGACAGTCGGTCTGTCCTGTCATTACAATAAAAAGTGTAGTCAGATGTACACACAGCGACAAAACGAAACAAGGTAACAATTCAAACATATTTCCACCAAATCCAACTATTTTTATTTGTGGAGGAGGTTTCAAGCCGCAGAGGTCTACAAGCACAGATATGGCTACTGATCCCGCTTGGCTAGGCCTCGTGCCCTCGCCAAATTGTTTCGAAATTTATATCTCCAAAGTTGACAAAACTTATAAAATGCCTTAGCTACGTCACAGTTAGACACAGATTTTCAGTATATTAGACTGTTCTTTTGATAATGATAGCAATTATACCTGTAGTTTATCCAGATTCCCGATGGTTAATTCTGACTCGATCCCCGAATGACAAGGGCGACGCCATGTTTGTTTATAAACACTGAAAGTAGTCCCTACTTGACCTTTGATATTTGCATCTCTATCCGCATATGACCCCAACGGATATCGTTTTTATCCGTTGGCTTTATCCTGCTGAGAAACCTGCCCATTATATGATAAAGATGGGTACATGTATTATGAATCCCAGTGAAAAGAAAGAGGGCAAACTTTCAATAATGCAACTGCTGGTTCTGTAGCCCATGGAGAAATGACAGTCACCAACTTGAGATGGATCAGAAGCCTTTTTATCCCCCACCACGAAATAGGTCGGGGGATATGGGAACATTTTGTCCATCCAACTGTCTGTCTTTTCGACCGTCTGCTTCTCAAAGGGGACAAATTTTCTCAAAAACTATTTAATGAAATTTTACACACTGATATTACTGATCATAATCTTAAATGAGTTCCAAAATTGGTGTCTTAAATTCATTTTTTACAGAGTTATGGCCCTTGTTCCATGCTTTTCTACTTAGTGCATACTGTGTGAAATGGGGACAGGTTTTCTCAGAAACTACTGAAATTACATGTATGAAAGTTTGAATGCTTATATAAGAGATACTTGTTAAGGCTGAGTTTTGAAAATTGGTGCCATAAATGAGTTATGGCCCTTGTTCCATGCTTTTCGAATATGTGCATATTGTCTGCAATGGGAACAAGTTTACTCGGAAAAGTCCATGACGTTTGCATGCGTATATCTATGAGATACTTGAAAAGACTGGGTTTTTCCCCAGAGTTACTTCCCTTGCTACATGTTTTTAGATTTTCTGCAAACACTGTTATGGCCCTTGATCCATGTTATTTTACAAAGTGCATAGTGTCTGCAATGGGGACAATTTTTCACAGAAACTACTGAAGTTAGCTTATCTAAAAGATGCTTATCAAGACTGAGTTCGAGAATTGGAGCTATAAATTATTTATTCTACAGAAGAGGTTGTTTGTATTAATTTCACATTTGATCAATTTTTTTATGGCAAAGCGACCCTAGTGCTTCTTTTGTAGGACTAATTTTTTATAGCTTATATTTACTACTATATGAACAAGCAAAATTCTAATGTGCCCCATGGTGGGGGATAGTGATAACGCTGTTTATTTGTGACTGTTGTCCTTGTGAATTATCTGTTATAAGTTGAGACTGACTATTCCCTCTGTGAACCACTTTAAACATTATGTCACCAGCATTGGCCACACAATGAACAAATTTGACAGTCAATCAGAATAGCTGCCATTTAGATGTTTTTTTTACGCCCTCAGCAATATTCCAGCTATATGATGGCAGTCTGTAAATAATGATTGACAACATTAGCATTGATCTATGCAAATGGGATATGATGACATGCATTAACCAAGTCATTGAGCCTGACCATCCGATCAGTACAACATGCATTGCCTGCTGAAGACCAACTCTAACGCGGAATCTTCACAGATAGACCTGCCCTTTAGAGCTTTGGAAACTCTTTTCTTATAATAATAGATAAAGGAAATTTGGAACAGATTTTTAAAGACTATTCTGAGATTAACAGGTCTAAATGTTGTTAATAATTTGTATTATAACATGTACTGTACTCAGTCTCTCATTTTCAGCATTAGTAAGAACGAAAGCAGCGAGACTCAAAGCAATGCTACATTGGTGGAAGAGTGAGTATCTACTTGTATTCAGGTTCTTCATGGTCAGGAGTTTCAGAATTCCTCCATCTAACACAAAATCTACTATTGTAGCTCTGTGGAAGAGATTCTTGACAGTCAGATATCCATATCAGTCAAAACTCCCTTAGTCTATAGTTTTCAGAGTTTTATCACAGCAGGACCAAAGGCCCAAGGAAGCTCATGGCATGTGTTGTCCCAGGCTTCCAGGTCTGCTTATGTCTTCTGTAGTTGCAATTGTGTTGGGGAGTACATGCATGTAGTAAGATGTCAATGTAGACATTTGCTATTTTAAATAAAAAGTTTTACACGAAGTACGTACACTAAGAAAGAATGACTAAATTTATGTTTTGCTGTTATCATTCATTGATCATCAATTGATTTTTTAACCAATTCCCACCACTGATGTTGCCACGGTGACTGTACATGCTGTAGAACTAATGTTGCCACGGTGACTGTGCATGCTGTAGAACTAATGTTGCCACGGTGACTGTGCATGCTGTAGAACTAATGTTGCCACGGTGACTGTGCATGCTGTAGAACTAATGTTGCCATGATGACTGTGCATGCTGTAGAACTAATGTTGCCACGGTGACTGTACATGCTGTAAAACTAATGTTGCCACAGTGACTGTGCATGCTGTAGAACTAATGTTGCCACGGTGACTGTACATGCTGTAAAACTAATGTTGCCACGGTGACTGTGCATGCTGTAGAACTAATGTTGCCACAGTGACTGTACATGCTGTAAAACTAATGTTGCCATGATGACTGTGCATGCTGTAGAACTAATGTTGCCACGGTGACTGTGCATGCTGTAAAACTAATGTTGCCATTATGACTGTGCATGCTGTAGAACTAATGTTGCCACGGTGACTGTGCATGCTGTAGAACTAATGTTGCCACGGTGACTGTGCATGCTGTAGAACTAATGTTGCCATGATGACTGTGCATGCTGTAGAACTAATGTTGCCACCGTGACTGTGCATGCTGTAGAACTAATGTTGCCATGATGACTGTGCATGCTGTAGAACTAATGTTGCCACGGTGACTGTGCATGCTGTAGAACTAATGTTGCCATGATGACTGTGCATGCTGTAGAACTAATGTTTCCACGGTGACTGTGCATGCTGTAGAACTTATGTTGCCATGATGACTGTGCATGCTGTAGAACTAATGTTGCCACGGTGACTGTGCATGCTGTAAAACTAATGTTGCCATGATGACTGTGCATGCTGTAGAACTAATGTTGCCAGGGTGACTGTGCATGCTGTAGAACTAATGTTGCCACGATGACTGTGCATGCTGTAGAACTAATGTTGCCAGGGTGACTGTGCATGCTGTAGAACTAATGTTGCCACGGTGACTGTGCATGCTGTAGAACTAATGTTGCCAGGGTGACTGTGCATGCTGTAGAACTAATGTTGCCACGGTGACTTTGCATGCTGTAGAACTAATGTTGCCACAGTGACTGTGCATGCTGTAGAACTAATGTTGCCACAGTGACTGTGCATGCTGTAGAACTAATGTTGCCACGGTGACTGTACATGCTGTAGAACTAATGTTGCCACGGTGACTGTGCATGCTGTAGAACTAATGTTGCCACGGTGACTGTGCATGCTGTAGAGCTAATGTTGCCACGGTGACTGTACATGCTGTTGAACTAATGTTGCCACCGTGACTGTGCATGCTGTAGAACTAATGTTGCCACCGTGACTGTGCATGAATAAAGGTGTGTTTTGTTGCAGACTGAAGACCAAGGTGACGGATGTCCTGAACATTATTAAGCAGGCCTTTGACAATGACGTGACTCCTTTTTTTGCCCTCCTCATATGTTTGTGGGGTAAGGCATTATATAGACTAACTAGTCTTGTAGTACTCTGTGTGTGTGTGTGTGTGTGGTTCTTCAAATGTGGACATTCTGGCTGATTGGCTGTCCTGTTGTTGATACATACCCCTAGGTATTCTTTGTCTGCATGTATGTACAAGTTGCTTGTGTTATAAAAAGTATTTAGAAAATGACCAACAAGGCATATGGAGTGAATTTACCTATGTGCAAAGAAATTGAGAATGGACACAAATGATTTGCACTGTGAGTATGTTCAATGCAAAAGAAAAGAGTATCCTATTTCTAGTCTGATCAGAAACACAATCAAAATACAAGCAAACACAATCAAATACAAGCAAACACAATCAAGTACAATCAAGTACAATCAAACACAATAAAATACAAGCATTACAATCAAAACCAATCAAGTACAATAAACACCAATCAAAGTTTAGAGAATCCAGATTTGTTTCACTCCATCACAAAGTTGCTATTCCAACAAGGGAGCGTCCACAAGGCATCCCCCCTTTTGTATGTTGTTGGTACAGCAGTCACCTATGTTTCGTGCCAAGGAGACCAAACATTATCACTGAGATCAGCACCTATTATAATTTTGACACTGCTTCAAGTCAGTTCAATTTTTGTTCCCTGAAAGGCATGGAACTCAAAATGATGAACAAAACAGTTTTTTTTTAGATCCATAAACACAATTTCTTTTGGACTTCCTGTGAATATTTATGATATTCAAACCGGATTCCATGGCATGTTCTGATATGCCATGTTTATGTCTGTTGCTAGGCACCGTGTTTCTGGAGTTGTGGAAGAGGAAGGTTGCACGTCTTGCCTACGAGTGGGATGTTGATGACTTTGAAGCATCGGAGCCTGATCGGCCTCAGTTCTTTGGCACTAAAGTCAAACCTGTGAGTATTTCACGCGATTGCAGAAGTAACATCTAGTTTGTAACATGCTGCAAAAATTGTAAAATTTGCCTGGTACTAATAATTTCAAAAGTATATTTGATTCTTATTTCAAAAGCAGAACATGTGACTCTTTTGTGAGATAAAAATTGTTTATTCAGTTGTATATGTTTGATTTTTATGCAGCAGACACCTACCCGGTACATTTAGTATTGATCCCAAGTTAACAAAAGATTTCTTGTTACCGTGCATTTTCCCTTCAGCAAACGCAGACCAACCTAGAGTTGCTTCCCTTGAATTGATACTGTCTTCCCATGCAGATTCTGATAGAATGTAAAGTGTGCGAAGATTTGACCAGACAGTAATCAGCGAGGGTCAGTTTGATCCTTGGTAAAGTTATGAATATCTGCAGGTGATTGTCTTGTGTTGCAGGATCCTGTGACCAATGAGGAAACGTGGTTCTATCCCCTCAAACGCCAACTGCTCAAGTTCACCACATCAGCTTCTGTTCTTATCTTTATGGTAAATATACATCTTCAGCAAACAAACTTACCAGCCAGAAGCCTGTGGTGACAGCTCGAACACACACACCACTCATGCACGCACACACACTCACTCTCGCACACCACCACACACACCACTCACTCAAGCACACATGCACACACCACTCACACATGCCACACACACACACATCTTGGATGCGATTTTAAACCCCATTTCATCTCATGCTGAAATAACACAGGTTCAAATCCCAAAATGAGAACTGTGTGTGAAACTCATTTCTGGTATCCCCCGGGATATTGCTATAACCCTTGTAAAACCAAACACTTTATGCCTGTTGTGTAGATCTCTGTGGTGTTGATCAGTGTGACGGGCGTCATCATCTACCGGGTCATCATGGACGTCGACCTATGTCCCGGCCTGACTGGGACTGAGTGCCTTCTCCTCACAACCGTTGTGTCTTCTATCCTCAATGCTATCTCCATCCTACTGCTTGGCAAGGTACGTCTTATGGCACCAACATGGTCAGCGAGCTCACTCTTGCAGCATACCTTCACGTACAGAAACCATTAAGCCACAGTTTTATTTTAGGGTTACAATTTTTTTGCTGACCTTGGGTAGGATGAAATTTTTAAAAATGTGAAAGTTTGCAATAATTTCATTCACAAATTTTGCCTTTTATTTCGCAGTTTTATGACAAGCTGGCAGTATGGCTGACTGACTGGGGTAAGGAGAGTCTTTGACAAAATTAACTATAAACTGATTTAGATCTACAGCTTTTAATAACAATTCATACACTAGCAGATAACTTTTTGATGGTTATGAACAGGAAAAGAAATATACAGCCATTAACCAGAGAATGTTATTCTAACATTACTGTTGTGTAACCATGGTAACTACACTTGTCGGCTCCTTGCACTGTGTATTTGTTGCTGTTGCAGAGAACCACCGGACCCAGACTCGGTATGATGATGCCCTGATCATCAAGCTCTTTGCCTTCCAGTTTGTCAACAGTTTTGCTTCCTGTTTCTATATTGCCTTCTTTCGAGGGGTGAGTGTTAATACTTTCGTTCAGTCCCATCAGGGGTTTGGGGAAGAGGGTGGTGGAGTGGGTGACCACTGATGTCCCATAGCTCTGTGCAGAGTTGTGTCCCTTAGCCAGGGCCTGCTGGATGTGGGTTTGAATCCAAAATTTGCACTGATAATGATCCTTGGTGTTTGTGGTTGTGGGTTTCATCACTGCTCCCATCATCTGTGTCACTTGTGCTGCCACATTGTGGTCAGATGACATGACATGACTGAAATACTGTTCAATAGGTACCATGCACTTCTTAACCTACACAAAATAGTTAACAGGAGTAAACCTATTTTACTTTTTGCGAAGCTGATAAAACCATTCCCTTGAAACAAAAATATGACAAATACATCTTCAAACTGAGAAAATATTGGTGTACTTTCATGAGAACATGTGTATGCAGAGATAACTCGCACTATCGTGGGATTTGAATGATATCCAGGCACATTCTTGCAAAATAAGAGTTTTGATGGGGGATGATTCACACACATATTAAAGCTATCATAGATTTTCAGTTGAGTAATGCGTGACCAATGGCTATTGAAGGCAATCATAGATACAACGATACTTCAAAATACCTCAGTAAACATCCTTCATGAAGAACAGGTAGTTATCACGGCAGCCAATAAGAAGTTGTTACGATCTACTTATGACAATATTGTCATTGTCCAATCACAATTCATTTCTGCTGTCAGCTTCACTCCACTGTTTTCATATGCCTGATTGTCAGAAGTAATTTATTCAAGTAGATTATCCTAAGTGCATCCTAGATGCTCATATGTAAGTGCCTGTCCCCACCGATCCCCACTTTTCAATATGGGTGGGCGACGTATTTCTTTCTGACTATGCATACATTCCTTCTGACTTTTATATGTTTGAGTAGGGATAAATCTTCAGCCAACTTCAGAATATTCACGATCAGATCATTTTATATGTGTATCTAAATAGTTTTGGCCAGGGCTCCGGAAAGACAGTTCCCAATCAGAATTTTGTACCCAACTCTTGAGAGCTACAGTGGGTACCTGGGTAGGGTCGGGTCCTAGGGGGTCGGGTACCCGTGTAGTAAATTTAGACCCGTCCCAGTCCTTATCCTTACACTTACTCCTGAAATCAGCCGAAATCAAATGCTTTCAAATGCAGTGTTGGTTTCTAAAATAATCTAAATTTCTTTCCAGCGTTTTTTCATTCTCAACCGTGGTGCAGATTACAAAGACAGTTGTGAGGGAACCTGTATGTCTCAACTCTCCTTCCAAGTTCTTGTCCTTATGCTTGTCAAACCCTTCCCCAAATTCTTCAAAGATATCATTCTTCCGTAAGTACACAAATAGAACTTTGCTTTTGTACCATGAGTCTACATGTACCATTGTGAATTCTCCATCTAATTACAATCAAATCTTTGATGCTAATATAATACCCCTCTGCAAATAGATCTGACAACAACTCCATAGTAAGCATAGATTTGTCTGGAGACAAATGGCATTAGAAAATTTTCATAATTTATCAACTTTGATAGGACATTCTTTGGTATGTTTGCCAAATTGAGAAATATGTTTTGGACATGATGGATCACAATCAGTGAATGTCCTTGAAATTGAACAGATCAGAAACCCTGGAAAGTCTCCTCCGGTGAACCCTGAGTGAACTTTGATCACCCAGTCTACACAAATGATGCGAGGCTCTTGTGCCAATCAGATGTGAACTTTGAAAAACAATTCACGTTCATTTCTTTACTACCTCAATAGAGAAATTTTGACTTTAACTAAGAAAGCACACACCGAACGCAAATATGCCTTCGATGGTTCTTCCTTTGGGTGTAGATGCAATGGTGCTCATAACTGACATGGTATATAAAATTCCCACACCAATAAGTGGCTTTGCCTTAGTTATTTACATGTGAAACTGGTTGTGTTCAGCTTGTTACGAGATACAGAAATCAGATATGCTGGTCTGAATGCTGAAAACTAAACAAAGAAAATTCTGGAATGCCTAATAGATGTCCGAGATTGCATGGCAGTACTTCCCGCCGGCTATGAAAAGGCTTTGCGATTGAACTGAAAGACAGATGATGACTTTGGTGGAGTCAGTCACACAGCCTGTAACTCAGTCAGAATATCCTGTGTTAACATTTTCAAGGTTGCATGATTAGAAAACACATTCTGAATGTCATTTTCCCAATCTGGTACGCTACGCTTTGATTGGTCGGATGAGAGGTCGTTCTGACGTGACATGTAATGGGATTTTAATATGATTGATTAGAACATTCACCTGATGTGATCTCTTGTGGAGGTCCTGAGATCTTCATGCAAGAGGCTTACAATAGACTAAACCAGCACATCTATTACTTTTCAGATTTCTTAAAATGCTCTGGCGAAAACGTCCATGTTGCCGCAAGACGAAGGTTGACGAGGTGTCTGCAGATAACAAGTCTGCTGGTAGTGAGGCCATGAAACACCAGAGTTTCCTGGAGAGGGAACGCCTCAAACCCACACTGGGAGACTTCACTCTCGGGGAGTACACCGAGAAGGTCATCCAGTACGGCTTCCTCATGGTGAGTGTCAGGGTCACGCCTGTGATGGGAAGGTTTACAAGTGGCGAGTTAGTTTTGTAATAATAATAATGATGACTTAGTTTTAGCTCACCTGACTGTCAAGTGGCTAGTTGTCTGTTGTCTGTCAGTCCGGGGGAACGTCGGTTGTCATTTTATTTCTTCATTTTCCACATCTTCTGAAACTACAAGGCAAACTATAGAACTGAAACTTTGTATGAATGATCCCCACTATGGTGTCTCTGAAACTTGCTCACAGAATTCCAGTATGGCTTTAATGCTCTCATTGCTACTGTCGAAACCCACTCGATAGTTGCATAGTCACAGGACACTCCCAAATGAAACGCACAATAATTGTTTAACGAGTAGGCTTTGTGTATCATTTAAGTTACTTGTGAAATGCATAAATGCTCAACTTGTGAAATATAAACTTTCAGTAGTTGTTTTACCTCAAATAGAGAACATCATGAGTGAAGAAAGTATCAGAAAAATTTCTCAGCTCACAACTGCTACAAATGTTGACTTTAGGCACTTCATGTTGAGCGGCACGTAGTCTGATATTTGCTTTATAACTTAATCATTTTTCACATTCGGTCATAATGTTTTGTTACTTGATGAAAAGAAAACACCCCAGTTCCTTAATTTCTAAAGATTAGCAACTGTACATATAGACATTTACTCACCTAAAGTGATTTATATGTTATACAGCCATAAATAGAACGCAATACATGTAATAACTTCAACTACTAACCTTTAATTACTGACCCTGTCTCTTACCCAGCCCAGTGCAGTGTGAAATGTGCCCTGAAAAGTGCAGGGGTGAAAACAAAGGGTTTAAATAGTAGGACACTGACATTTAAAACTAGCCAATCAAGAAGAGACCTGGGCTGACACACTGATTGGCCACCAAGGATTGCCATTAATTCTTCATAATTCAGGTGGGCTGCTATCCCAGATATTCCGAATTGCCTCAAATGTGGTGTTGGCAAGTGTGCCATCTGTATGCTCTCTGATTGTGACAAATTGAGATGACTAGTACATGTTACAATGTCTTGCTGCGTAGCTGTTTGCTGCTTCCTTCCCCCTGGCCCCACTGCTGGCGCTGATCACCAACCTCATCGACATCCGAGTAGATGCCAAGCGAATGCTGTGGTTCAACCGGAGACCTGTTGCCTTCATCGCTCAGGACATTGGTAAGTACAAGGATGATAAGCTGTAGGAAGAGTCCTGGGTGCTGTTGTACAAAGCGATCTTAGCGCTAAGGAGACCGTAACTCCCATAACTTCACGTAGACATACAACAGTCTAGCACTAAGGTTGCTGGGAACATCAGCCTCTGATACAGATAATACATGATACATGCAACTCTCCATTCAGTGGAACTGGAATGTTAACTTGTAATTTTAATATGAAGTTAGTTTGAATGTAGACGCTGCATTTATCCATATATTTTCCACATTTCAAACGTCCGTATTTCTTCAAGGACTTTGTGTTTTGACATTCCGTCATTGTTATTTGATATGGTCGCCTGTCGTCTAAGGTACTGCAATACGCTGCGCAGAGTTGCATCCCTTACCGGTGCCAGAAGTCAATGGCCATGGGGCCCAGATTGGCCCTGAATCTGTTTCTAGGTTTGTCAGCATCATATCCTTGCTCCAGGGTTTCAACATCTAAGGCCTGCATTCAACTTTCCATCAAGCTGACACACTGTTCACAGCAGCATTGCAAACTCAATCACTACTATATGTTATATTTGCAGGTATGTGGTATGACATCCTGACGTTTGTCAACTTCTGTGGTGTCCTGACGAACGCCTTCCTGATAGCCTTCACCTCCTCCTGGGGTTCAAACTTTGACCTTGTTGGGAAACTGTGGATCGTCATTGGCTTTGAAGTAAGAGTCATGATCATCTATATCTTGTACCCTGTTTGACTGTTTTGCATTTATTAAACCAACTTTTTCTACACACAGCCTAGTCATTGGAATTATTACATATTTATTGGCAAGTCAGAGCTGTTTTTTATGTGACCTAAGACCTGAAGTTTGCTGTACAGAGTTATGTTCCTTTGATGCCAGGATCCGCTGGTCCTAGATTCATCCTGATTAGGATCCTGTGTTTATCTGCGCATATCTGTGCTCATGGGTTTCACCAAAGCAGCAAACATCTAAGAGCTGTGTCACTGCATCCTTTATGAAATATGTTTTCATGTCATGATATAACACGGATACTGCTCAAAGCACTGTTGATCCCACTCACTTAACCATGTGTTGTCTCTATATTCACCCAGCACATCGTGTTCGTCCTTAAGTACATCCTGGCCTACATGATACCGGACGTGCCCACAGAGGTCCGCCTCGCCATCAGACGTGTAAGTAACTCCAGCAGTCCTCTGGACAGGAGAGGTCCCTTAAAAAATATCATTAGATTTACTCCAATTTAATCTTTGGAAAAACTACCCATTATAGAATTAATGAAGGGCTTAGGATGGGGTTTTAGGGTGTAAAGGGTTCAGGGTGCATATCAGGGTATCAGGGTTCAGGGTGGGTATCAGGGTTCAGGTGGATATCAGGGTATCAGGGTTCAGGTGGATATCAGGGTATCAAGGTTCAGGGTAGGTATCAAGGTTCAGGGTAGGTATCAGGGTATCAAGGTTCAGGGTAGGTATCAAGGTTCAGGGTAGGTATCAGGGTATCAAGGTTCAGGGTAGGTATCAGGGTATCAAGGTTCAGGGTAGGTATCAGGGTATCAGGGTTCAGGATGGGTATCATGGTATCAAGGTTCAGGGTAGGTATCAAGGTTCAGGGTAGGTATCAGGGTTCAGGTGGATATCAGGGTATCAGGGTTCAGGTGGATATCAGGGAATCAAGGTTCAGGGTAGGTATCAAGGTTCAGGGTAGGTATCAGGGTATCAAGGTTCAGGGTAGGTATCAAGGTTCAGGGTAGGTATCAGGGTATCAAGGTTCAGGGTGGGTATCAGGGTATCAAGGTTCAGGGTGGGTATCAGGGTATCAAGGTTCAGGGTGGGTATCAGGGTATCAAGGTTCAGGGTAGGTATCAGGGTATCAAGGTTCAGGGTAGGTATCAGGGTATCAAGGTTCAGGATGGGTATCAGGGTATCAAGGTTGAGGGTGTTATCAGGGTATCAAGGTTCAGGGTGGGTATCAGGGTATCAAGGTTCAGGGTGGGTATCAGGGTATCAAGGTTCAGGGTGGGTATCAGGGTATCAAGGTTCAGGATGGGTATCAGGGTATCAAGGTTCAGGGTGGGTATCAGGGTATCAAGGTTCAGGGTAGGTATCAGGGTATCAAGGTTCAGGGTAGGTATCAGGGTATCAAGGTTCAGGATGGGTATCAGGGTATCAAGGTTCAGGGTGTTATCAGGGTATCAAGGTTCAGGGTGGGTATCAGGGTATCAAGGTTCAGGGTGGGTATCAGGGTATCAAGGTTCAGGGTGTTATCAGGGTATCAAGGTTCAGGGTGGGTATCAGGGTATCAAGGTTCAGGGTGGGTATCAGGGTATCAAGGTTCAGGGTGGGTATCAGGGTATCAAGGTTCAGGGTGGGTATCAGGGTATCAAGGTTCAGGGTGGGTATCAGGGTATCAAGGTTCAGGGTAGGTATCAGGGTATCAAGGTTCAGGGTAGGTATCAGGGTATCAAGGTTCAGGGTGGGTATCAAGGTTCAGGGTGGGTATCAGGGTATCAAGGTTCAGGGTGTTATCAGGGTATCAAGGTTCAGGGTAGGTATCAGGGTATCAAGGTTCAGGATGGGTATCAGGGTATCAAGGTTCAGGGTGTTATCAGGGTATCAAGGTTCAGGGTGGGTATCAGGGTATCAAGGTTCAGGGTGGGTATCAGGGTATCAAGGTTCAGGGTGGGTATCAGGGTATCAAGGTTCAGGGTGGGTATCAGGGTATCAAGGTTCAGGGTAGGTATCAGGGTATCAAGGTTCAGGGTGGGTATCAGGGTATCAAGGTTCAGGGTGGGTATCAGGGTATCAAGGTTCAGGGTGGGTATCAGGGTATCAAGGTTCAGGGTGGGTATCAGGGTATCAAGGTTCAGGGTGGGTATCAGGGTATCAAGGTTCAGGGTGGGTATCAGGGTTCAGGTGTATATCAGGGTATCAAGGTTCAGGGTAGGTATCAAGGTTCAGGGTAGGTATCAGGGTATCAAGGTTCAGGGTAGGTATCAAGGTTCAGGGTAGGTATCAGGGTATCAAGGTTCAGGGTAGGTATCAGGGTATCAAGGTTCAGGGTAGGTATCAGGGTATCAGGGTTCAGGATGGGTATCAGGGTTCAGGTGTATATCAGGGTATCAAGGTTCAGGGTAGGTATCAAGGTTCAGGGTAGGTATCAGGGTATCAAGGTTCAGGGTAGGTATCAAGGTTCAGGGTAGGTATCAGGGTATCAAGGTTCAGGGTGGGTATCAGGGTATCAAGGTTCAGGGTGGGTATCAGGGTTCAGGTGTATATCAGGGTATCAAGGTTCAGGGTAGGTATCAGGGTATCAAGGTTCAGGGTAGGTAACAGGGTATCAAGGTTCAGGGTGGTATCAGGTTGAGATGGGATCAGGGTCTCGAGGATTGAGGGTGGGGTCTCAGGATCTTAAGGTTGAGGGTGAGGTCATAGCTCTGCTCCAAAGTAAAGGTGTAGGGAACGACTCTGTGGATCAGGTTGTTTTTGAACCAGCTGTACTGTAAGATTACCTCGATAGCTGGAGATTAGGATGGATTTAATCAAAACTAGAAAAGAGATATTAATGCCTTGGAGGCTTTTTGCTCTAAAACTGCTTGATTCTCTCAAATGTTTAATTGCAGGAAAAGTACCAGATCACCAAGAAATTGGAGGATGGCAAAAATATGAAAATGGATTTCACCCACCTGTATCCAGAGTCCAGGTAGAGTTCTGCTGTGTTACTGTCATACATGGTAGAAATATATGCAGTTGAGATCTTTTCTATGTCTTTTGAAATTTAATTCTGTACAATATTTGTATTAATCAGAAGTCCATCCATCCTTCCATTTGTCCTACCTCCACGGAGACAAGAACAATTTGGAAACCGCTATGGACACACATCAGTAAAAACAGGGATAAACATGTTGATCGTGTTTAAAAACCCTCATACAAAATTTCTATAGCCCTTGCTGTGTATTTTCATCTTTCTGAGGCAAGGGAGTTGACTGAGTATTAAAGTCCAGTTTCTGCCATTGCAGAACTAGGCTGGAATTTGGTGGCTCAAAACCATCACTGAAAAGTCGTGTTTCACAGACATGTTTGAGTATCAAGCTGGAAGACCATAAAGGAGAATGTTTTACAATGTTGTTTGTTTGTTTGCTCAAATGAGGGTAGGGTTCTTTTTAGGAGCATAACTAGACACCATTTAATATCTCCTAAACCTGTCATTATTTTAAACTTTGCAAATGTATGAGGCTAGTTAGTACTGGCCCATATCATTTTCAAAAAAAAATTTCTTTTACTCATAATTGTGCCTTTTGCTATTGTGGAGGCTGGATTTGTCCTCTTCTGATGACTCTTGTTGTATTTGGTCGTAACTGAACACTTCTACTCTGTCTGTGTGACTGTTTTCCATGTCATTGTGAGGTATTACAAATATGATAGATATGTATTTTCAATTTGATTCTTAATTATACGGATAATGTATCAACGAGAACATCAGTTGTTCAGTTGTGTGTCATTGGAAGTAAATTTAAAGTCTGTTCAAGATATATATTATATGTTCATTGTTTTTTATTGACCATTACACCAGTAATATATTTGGATGTGTAAATAATGTTACTATTCTCCTTGAATAGTAGAGCAGGGCTGCACACTTGTCTAAAGTGCTGCGATTAACTGTGCAGTGCTACAATTAACTGTGCAGAGCTCCCTTAACTGCGCAGAGGGTTTGCATCCTGGAACATTTCTAGGTTTATCAGTTCCGTACCTATGCTCTTGGGTTTCATCAACATGGTATATGTCCAAGATCTGCATCACTTCCAGCTTTCCTTCCACATCAAGCTGACTTGCTGTAATATATTAAACTGTAATACTGTTCAAAGTGGCTTTCAAACAATTCACTCTGTGTAGTTCACTTGTATTCTCAATATATGACAAGATTCCCGTGATTTGTTAAAAAACATATCAAAGAATATTTGGCGAGGCAATCAAATTATCAATTGTTCTTACTCAGGAAAGGTTTTTGTAAACATGGATTTTAAGTTCTAGGAAAGGTATATTGTAATCCTTTATTTTTTGTAAATACTGGTAGACCCTTCTTTGTTGATCCTGTGCAGATCACGTCTGACGTCCGAGAACGGGGATGAAGATGTGGATGACAACATGCGGGGCATGATCAATGAGTCCAGCATCGTGGAGGAGCCAGCATCGAAGGCCGGACCCAGTACGCTACGGAAACGACCATCGGCCAACAACCTCTGGTATACCTCAGAAAAATCTGCAGGGTCAGAGTTGGATAAGAGGTAATTTGCTGCAGATATTGTCAAATACAACAATAATCCTTGTTGAAATATTACTTGTGAAGTGGCAAATATGTGTTGTTGAACTTAAATATATTTTAGGCTAAAAAAATAATAGTCTTGGTTCTCATGCACCGCCCGCATCATCAGAAGTTGGCTGCATGTTTCGTTTTAATTCCATTTGAAAAAAACCCAACAAAAGTCTTAAATATGCCAAATGAAACGGTATTCAAATACTGTATTTTACTCATCAAGAAATACGTCAATGTAGGGAGGCCCTTTCCCCGTTTGATTGTACAAACATACTAGTTTGAACAGGAAAAAACAAAATAACACGGCCGCCCACCAGCACTATATTTTCAAAGGCCATTGCCTCAGAACCAATTCTTTCATTTCTTTAAGCCTTAAGGAATCAACGTTTTGATATTAAAACAGTTGTTTGTTTAAGATAGAAATTTGAACTGATTGTACAGGTTATGAAGATTTAATTTTCATTAATATTAACAGAAATATATTATGATTTATCAACAGTTAAAATGAGTGAAATAGTCACATGACATATATAGCCTGGCTGGTGATGCGTCGGTATTTTACAGATTTTCCCTAAACACTGTTTTGCAATCATATATTGGGATATTATGAGCAAGATTACTCATTTCAAAATTTTGGTTTTGGAAATGTCAGAAGTTTCACTATTTAACAAGTTTTGCAGTGTTGGGTGAGATGAAGACAACATTGGGTTGTGCTTGTGGCTGCTTGCTGTGATCATCTTTGAATTCAATGCTTGTGAAACATGTTCAGGGTGACAGTTGAGTGAGATATACTGTGTCATCAGTTGCAATGAAGATAGCATTCAGTAGTAACATAGTCACACTGCAGATTCGAAAATATGTTATGTGAGCATGGGTCTTCTTGAATGCAAAATATAGAAATGATTGTAAACATAGTTTTTGAGAAAATGTACAAAATGTTGTTATATCACCAGCCAGAATGTTAGTGTAGCTACCTTTCGTCCTTTGCCCATAGTCAAGGCATAGTCAGCATGTCTGCTATTAATCCCAATGGCAGTCGACTGCTACGATCCCAGACGTCACGCGAAAGTGAAGAGGAGACAACTCTGTCGACCATGAAGCTCTCAGATACTATCGATGACATCGGTAAGATATTGCTTCTTTCAGTTTTGTAGTCAGTGAACACTGTCCTCTACTGTGGTCAAGGGAGGCAGGGTAATGTAATAGGTGGGGAATAACCTCTTCATTGTGTCTGGGAGTGTAAAACTCGGTCCTGGAATCTCAGGGTGAAATCTTACTTATTTCTGATATACTTCTTCATTCTACCATCACAAGCATAACTGAAGAGGGGTTCCTTGTCTTTCTTAGAAACAATATCAAAATTTAAAATTTACCAACTTTGCATATGTAAATTTAAAGATTAATATTTCAAGAACATGCTATTTGTGTTGGAATGTCAAAGACAGTTTTTAACGTTTGACTTCATTCCTGACCTCATATGACAATGGAATTGTACTTTTCTGTGACAAATAAGCCACATGAGCCACAGTGGCCTCGCAGTCCTGTGGGTACCCGGTCCTAGCAGTCCTGTGGGTACCCGGTCCTAGCAGTCCTGTTAGTACCAAGGTCCTAGCAGTCCTGCGGGTACCAAGGTCCTACCTGTCCTGTGGGTACCCGGTCCTAGCAATCCTGTGGGTACCCAGGTCCTAGCAGTCCTGCGGGTACCCAGGTCCTAGCAGTCCTGCGGGTACCAAGGTCCTACCAGACCTGTGGGTACCCGGTCCTAGCAGTCCTGTGGGTACCCGGTCCTAGCAGTCCTGTGGGTACCCGGTGCTAGCAGTCCTGTGGGTACCCAGTCCTAGCAGTCCTGTGGGTACCCGGTCCTAGCAGTCCTGTTTGTACCAAGGTCCTAGCAGTCCTGTGGGTACCCAGGTCCTAGCAGTCCTGTGGGTACCCGGTCCTAGCAGTCCTGTGGGTACCCAGTCATAGCAGTCCTGTGGGTACCCGGTCCTAGCAGTCCTGTGGGTACCGGGTCCTAGCAGTCCTTCGGGTACCCGGTCCTAACAGTCATGTGGGTACCCAGTCATAGCAGTCCTGTGGGTACCCAGTCATAGTAGTCCTGTGGGTACCCAGTCATAGCAGTCCTGTGGGTACCCGGTCCTAGCAGTCCTGTGGGTACCGGGTCCTAACAGTCCTGTGGGTACCCAGTCATAGCAGTCCTGTGGGTACCCGGTCCTAGCAGTCCTGTGGGTACCCGGTCCTAGCAGTCCTGTGGGTACCCAGTCATAGCGGTCCTGTGGGTACCCAGTCATAGTAGTCCTGTGGGTACCCAGTCATAGCAGTCCTGTGGGTACCCGGTCCTAGCAGTCCTGTGGGTACCGGGTCCTAGCAGTCCTTCGGGTACCCGGTCCTAACAGTCCTGTGGGTACCCAGTCATAGCAGTCCTGTGGGTACCCGGTCCTAGCAGTCCTGTGGGTACCCAGTCATAGCAGTCCTGTGGGTACCCGGTCCTAGCAGTCCTGTGGGTACTGGGTCCTAGCAGTCCTGTGGGTACTGGGTCCTAGCAGTCCTTCGGGTACCCGGTCCTAACAGTCCTGTGGGTACCCAGTCATAGCAGTCCTGTGGGTACTGGGTCCTAGCAGTCCTGTGGGTACTGGGTCCTAGCAGTCCTTCGGGTACCCGGTCCTAACAGTCCTGTGGGTACCCAGTCATAGCAGTCCTGTGGGTACTGGGTCCTAACAGTCCTGTGGGTACCCAGTCATAGTAGTCCTGTGGGTACCCAGATCCTACTGAGGATCCACCCGACCTGAGTACCCAAGATACCATTCCCAAGCCCTAGTTGATGGGGTGGTGTATCTTTCTTGTAGATATTGGGTTTAGTGTTTTTCCCATAGTGAAAACATTCCCTGCAACATGAAATATTATGACTAGAGTAGGTACGGAACGTTTCTCTGTTTCTATCCCAGTGAGTATACCTAGTATCATCGGGGCTAGATTGCAGTACGGTCGGTCCATACCTGCCGCCATTTTGGGATTTGCATCAGGTCCTTCTTTTGTAATGGGGGTGGTCGGGTAGCCTGGTGGTTAAACTGTTCGCTCGTCACGCCGAAGACCCGGGTTCGATTCCCGACATGGGTACAATGTGTGAAGCCCATTTCTGGTGTCCCCCGCCGTGATATTGCTGGAATATTGCTAAAAGCAGCGTAAAACCATACTCACTCACTCACTCACTCTTTTGTAATGCTTGTGGACTTGACCTCCACACAAGGCTTTGTTATAAATACTTTTGGAAGTAAATGTCAATTCTCTTCCCAAAATTAATGAAAATTTGTTTGTTGAAATTTTGCTGCAATGGATGTTATTGATGAGGGTGCCGCACACTGTTCAGGAACTTCTATTTTCGAGTAATTTTTTATGTTGATGAATTAATTCCTTGAGATTCAGTTTCGAGGATTAATCATATTAAACCATACAAATGCATGAAGAGTAGTTTTATCTGTGTATTGTGACCTTAGCCCCCTATTCTTCAAATAGCCGCATTGTCGCATGCCACTATATTGGATAGGGCACATGAATAGGACTAACAGGTATCTGGTACAAGGCTTGTGTACCCCATATTGCTGGAAGATGATTAATATGGGGATTGGTGGGTCCTAATGGATAATACTGTGATGGTTGACCAGTTCAGGGTCTTTGTTGTATAAGGTTTTTTTCTGCTACAGATGAGGAGGGTGAACCAGTGACCCCGAGAGAAACCAAACCGAGGTACAAAGATTCCAAGTGCTGATGTGACAGTTTCCATGTTGGGTTGGTCTCCTCGCTTTAACATCACTAGCTAGTCTCAACTGAAGATGTAGCTCACCTGCAGTGAGTTAGCTAGTCTCAACTGTAGATGTAGCTCACCTGCATTGAGTTAGCTAGATGTACAGTAGCTCATCTGGATGGAGTTAGCTAGTCTTAACTCTAGCAGTAGCACACCTGCATTGAGTTAGCTAGTCTTAACTTCACCTGAAGCTCACCTGCATGGATATAGCTAGTAATCACTATCGATGTTAGCTCACCTGCCTGAAATTCACCAGTCTTCACTCTTTAATAGCTCACCTGCATGGTATTACCTAGTTTTCACTCTGAATGTTAGCTCACCTGTACAAGATATCTAGCTTACTCTCCAGTCTCACCTACTGTTAGCTTGCACTCCGCAATAAAGTCCCTTTCCTTGCCTTTGTGTGGTTTGTCCTTTGATTCCTTCTATATATGTGTGATGAATGGTGTTAGAAAATGTTGTCTGTTTACTTTTCAGAACTTCTTTATGAATTTCAATAATGAAAATAATTCAGATGAGGAAAATGTGGAAAGGAAAATATTATTTAAAAAAATACCCAACCAAAACAAACTTTTCCTTAATTTAATTTGTTCCTTATTTCTCATGACTGACAATACTTATCAGATGTTAAGAAACTTAATAAAAATAAATTAACCCAGCTAAGTTTGAGCCTTTTTAAAAAAGTAATTTTAAAAAGAGGCCTTAGATATTGGGTCACCTGTCTTGCGCTGAAAGTGATTAATGAAATTAATAAAAAGTATTTTAATTTATAATTTTTACCCTGTTGTGTGTTTTTTTTAATGTAATTACAAAATGAGGCCTTAGATATTGTGTCACCTGTCTTCCACACATTGTGATGTTAGTTCAGTCACATCCCCCCTGTGGGGGCCCAGCACAGGTCATCAGCACAGGTCATCAGCACTTTGTCATAAGAGTTGGCAAACCTTGATTTGATTTCTCCATATTTCAGTCACTTGTCTCTCTGGCCCAGACTTGATTATTTAGAGACTGCCCTGATACCGCTGAAATAATTTTGTTGACTGTGGAGTAAAGCAACTAAAACAAAAGGAAAAATGATTGACAAGGAATGTCACCTCATCACTAGCTGTACATTAGAGGATTCTCACCCAAACCTGCAACTTAGGATAGTCTGATGGATTTGCAGGTTTAGAGAGACTAGTGTTCTGCTTTTGTTTTATCATGTTTGGATATTGGTTAATATGGATGGTAACAGAAAAGTTATGATTTAACGGTCTTGCTGTACAGATTTGCAGATACAAGAAGAATATATTTGAAGCAGACATAAAATATACATTAATGATATTACCTACATATCAGACCGACTTAGCTTCTTATCACATTCTTGTAACGATAAAAAACATTTGAATCACATGTTTTGATACAGTTTATGTAACGTTCAACTGGTCATCTTTCCGGTATACTTCTCAGGGAGCTGAGAATGATAACTGTTCTGTAGACCAGGACAATAATGTTTCATGCTGTTAGCATGCCGTGGCACTATGGCAGTGGATGATGTTAGTTCTTATTGTTCCCGATGATGATGGGTTTGAATGGTAGAGTCGCCCTGATTGTTATGATTGATTTTGCAGCACTATGAAGGGGCGTTGAACCAACTCAATCATTCACTCACTGATTGTTAATGTTATTGTTGTTGCAGCCCACCAAGTGTAGTATTGCCCGCCTACAGTAGTCAAAGTCACTCTGTGTGGACCATGGATTACCAGAAACGAGGATCCATGGGAGAGTATTCAGTGTAGCTGTAGTGACCCCACAGGTTAACCGAGTCAATACGCTGCAAGGTCAGGCTGTCATCAGTGGGCCGGCACCACCCCTACTACACAGCCAAGCAAGCTATTCAGGAACAAAGGTGTACATAGTGTAATGTTTCAACGTGAACTGTCGTCAAGCACAGATGAAGATCAGCGTTACTGCAGCAGCTACAGCGGCAGCTCCCTCATCAGCTGTGAAAGAAGTCCCTTCACATAATACCCAGTAGTGTCCCACAATATACTTTATAGATGCAGTATACTCGGATGATGATCTGTCAGATGATGACGTGATATTTTTCTATTGTTAGTTACTTATTTAATCCAGTTGTTAATGTACAGGAGATTTACTTAAAACGAGACAGTACTTGAGAACATTCACACAAAGTCTTCAGTTTACACAACCTGATTGGTTATTTGTTATGTCCTATCCATGACAGTGTTTTATGTATGTTTGTTTATAGAAGATGTGGATGTCCTGTTTCATTGTTTGACTTAACTTGCTATCAGTATAATTGGACTTGTGTCTCATTTAAGAACATGCCATCAGAGGTATGTAAACATACATAGAGTATATGTGTGATATTTACAACCTGGAAGGAAGGAGACTGTATGTAGGTCACAATTTTAAAATTTATGGTTTAATATTTACAAATAACCCTGGGTAGGATTTAATACTAATAAATTTGTATTGCTCTCTTTCTTTTTGTTTGGCATTGTTATTGGTAAAATAAACATGTTTAAAAAGTGTTACTTTGTATGGTAACCATGGTAACATCTACATATGTTTCCATCTGTCCGAGAAGGCTTTGTACTCCACATAAGCTTTTAGCAGCAGACATAGACTATATACAATACATTTGATTAATTATATTCAAAAAAAGGTATTGGTCACTTTTTTGTTTGAACTTTATGGTTATCTGTATTTGTTTATTTTTCTAATCCATGAATGATAGAGTGGTCAGATTAATATAAATAAATTATTATTATTTGTATTTTAGCTTCTGGTTTGTGTTTTGCTGCAGGTCTGTCAAATCCATTAATAGAAATATAAGAATGTGTTGCCAAATGAAATATTTTTATGACTGGAATCTCCAAAATTAATTTTGGTGCGTCTAGTTGTGGCAGAAGGTTTTGGATCGTTGTCAGACTCCTACACCTCAAACGTACCACACTCCTCTGGGAAGATCCCACTAGCACTTGACTCATGATTTGAGCATGTTGATATATCAATACCAGTAAAGCACGAAGTCACGTCAGCATTTGTGAAGATCCCTTCTAGTAATACCGATAAGTTTACATTGGTAAATTCCAAGGTACTCTCTTTTAAACATGTTTGTCAGTATTTAATTTTACCTTCCAAACATTTCCATTTCTAATATGTTTACAATTTTGTGATATTATTCATTTAACTTTACCTACATGTTACTTGGACATGGTCACACTTACACTGTATGTGTCTGTAAACAAGGCATGTTGATTTATCAGTTTTAGAAACTTCAAATATACATTTCTTACTTGTTCAAGTCATTTTTCTATGTTCTTTGTAACAGTATATATATTTGTGTCTTAGAAACACTTTGTTACCTGCATAATAATTCGCTGTAATTTATTATCAACATTCTGTAAATAATGTACCAGTAGATGTCTGTGATAAAAAGGAAATGTATATAGTTTTAAGTAACTTTTCATATTTACCTTTGTATCATTTATTCAATTATTCCTTTTAACTTATTTTTCATACATGTACACAGTTTCTGCCATAGTTCACACAAGCATCTACAGTTGTCTGAAGGATTCGGCACCAATACACACACTACTTTAGGCATTGTTCCTTCAAGTTGTTACATTTCAGGCTGAATTTGCAATGTCCAGGATATGTATATTTTATGTCTGGATCTCAATCTGAATATGACTGAAGGATCCGATCTGACCATTAGACAGATGGGCTAGATTTCTTTACTTGAAGACAGAAGAATAGTTGCATGTGTACTTCTAGTTTAAAGGAAAGGACAAATGACTTTTTTGGAGAACTGAGTCAGAAATATAAAAAAATGATGTTTTGGAATATGAATTTGTTTCTTTGATGAATTTGTTTTATTTTGAAAAGAGAAAGTTTACATCTTGCAACAAGTATTTGTAGACTAACACCAATTAATTGTATGCCAGTTCTTTAATAATCATACCATGAATACTGAAAGCTGTGAAGTATATATTGATTATTAAGTAAGAATGACATTTCTTACAAAGTAAATGCACTGGGGGTGTCCTGCTCCTATTCTAGACCTATCCATAAGTATTCTTTATAAGTACCTGGTACTACGGCTGAAAATGTAAATAACAATCTGTATTTTCTTGTGTATAGTACAGATGTTTTACAGAAACACAGCAGGTGTATATAACTGTCTAGTAACTATCAACAAAAAAGGGTTTAGTTTGAACTGAGTTTGTTCTGTCGCTGGATCTCTGACAACCAACTCAACGTGTGTATAGTTTAGATATGCACCCCATTTGTCAATTTACAAAGCAACCAGGGCACTGATTATGGCGAATACAGTACATATTTTTGTACATTATGCTATTGCTGAAAAAGTAAACTTTGAAAGTGTTGTTAACGTAAATGACATATACAACTGTCATCAGTAATAGGCAAATAGAGGATGCATGCACCCAATATGATCTATATCAACAGTAGGGTCAATGGTAATATTATTCCTAGAATCATGTATTTGATGTTTTTCAAGGTACTGGGTATTTCTTTTTAGAGATGAATGTCAGGGAAAATGAACTATAACACTTTGTATACTATTGAAGGCACTGCTTCTAAACATGGAGTGGTAGGTTACCTATAGACATGTCTGACAACTGGTTTCATTTTATTGAAATTGTTAAAAATTATTACCATGTTACAGCATTCGTTTCTACAATTAGTCTGTTGTTATTCAATGAAGGCATTATATAAACTGGAATATATACAAGGTATGTGGATCTTGTTTACGATGTCAGCATACGTTACGATGTCACTGTAATTATTGTTGGTAGAGATTACGTAGGTTTTGCCCTCTTGTGTATAGTCTCACATCTTTAGGCTGAAAAAAAAGGAACTGTTTCTCGGTCATCGGCACAATTTTTTATTGGCAATAAAAAAGAAAATTCTTCAAATTTGAAACATACTCTATTATCCATAATATAAAATGCTTGACAACTGGCATTGTATTAAAGAGACAAGTTCAAAGTGAGCCCATTTGTGTGTGTTGGTATTCTTTGTGGGGAAAAAATTATGAAGCATTTCTATGGCATCACTTTTGTTTTTAAGAAAAAATAAACCAATGATCCTATCTTCCCTCATCACTTTTGAGAAAAATGTGCCCGAGAAACAGTTATCTTTTTATTCAGCCTTATTTTTTTCATTTGCATGGAATTTCACTTATTTGCAAGAAGTCATAAGGCAATGATTAAAGCCCTATGTGACCACAGGGTTAAACTTACTTCGGCCAATATCAAATCACGTGTTGTTTTGTGAACGGTATTGCTATGCATGGGCCGATTGATCAGGAGTTCAAATCCTAAATTTGCCTGATTACCATCCTTGGTTAGCACCATACCCATGCTCGTGGACTTCACCATCGTGGAAACGTCTTTAGGCTTCCCTCCCACATCAAGATTACTTGCTGTGATATAAATGAAGTAGTGTTCAAAGCATGACAGATATATTCACTGACTATGATATGTTAGGATGTGACATGGGTTGTTTATATATGTCTACCAAAACATTCTACCACCCAAGGAATGTGGTGGTGAGTGTTTGGACTGGATTCACAGTACTTTATACCTGAGAGCATTGGTAGAGAAAGTTTAGTCCTGGGAAATGTGCATCTTCCCAAGGCAATGCCATTAACTGAGTAAAAAAGTCCAGTTTCCACCATTGCCGAACTGGGTTGGAATTTACAGGCTTGATCGTAGCACCACCAGTGGCTATTATGAGTTATGTCCCTTCTATTTCCCTCCTATTGACCAATCAGATGCCACCTCTCATATCATATAACTATATTGCTTCAAACATAATGGCAGCGCCCAGTCAAGATGACCTGATCTGATTGATAATCTATATTGTAATGAAACAGGCCTTAACTCACGAAGTGCATGAAATCACTTTTACACCTTATTCAAAAACATAAAAAGTTTTGCAAAATATCTGTCAACGCCCAGCTGGCGGTACACATGCTTTGCAAATCCTTCAGTCGACCGAAATCTGTATGTTGAAATCCATTTTGTTTGTCTAGTTTGTTACATGATTTTGATTGGACTATGCTTAGACACGTTAGTCCAGCCAAACTGTAACTCAGGAATTCCAGCCTAGTTTGACAAGGATGGAAACTGGACTTTATAGATAGTTAACGCCCTTGACCCAGGAAGATGGGAAGTGTGCAGCTAAGTAATTAATTCAGCCTTACAACAACAGCTATTAAATTGTCTTTTCAAACTGAAAACAATTAGAGTTATTATTCTGGTGAAGAAGTGTTCACCTTGTTGTGGCTTATGCAGATCTGGTCTGTTTTGTTTTATGAACAATGGCAAAATTAAGTGGTATTGCAATTATATAATTAAGTACTTTTTTGTTAGGTTTTGGTCCATAATGTACCTAAAACTGGGCGACAATTATGTGATAATTTGAAATTAAGGGGCCAGAGTAAGGCACGTTTCATGAGATGCTTTCTTGCCAGACTGAAAACAGACTTCTTCTGTCTTCTAATAATGTATAAATTGGTTTTGATTCGATGTTCATCATTACTGTTATTAACATGGCAGCAGTTACTCAGGTCACAGTGTTGAGTTGTCCGCGTGTTATTTACGATTCCATTTGAAACATATGTTACTCAGGAAAGATTTTGTATTATTTTGTGGTCTGTTTGGTGTTGTACTTGTGAATTTTTCAGGTCAGATAAATAAACCCTCCCTTTCTAGTTCAAAAGGGACTACAGTTTTTACACATCACTAGTCTAATTCTAGAGATGTTGGAATTAATGCCCCGTGAAATGGAGACATTGTCTCTTTATTTAGTTACTAAGGGATGTTTTTTTGGCTGTTTTGAACAAAGTTAAGCTTTGATAAACCTGCAGTGGAGACACAGAGGACTGTCAGGACATGATCCTAGCTTGAAGGCATGGCTTGTTGCTCATGCTTTCAACCACTGGTTTGCCTGGTCCAGACTGCCTACAGGTCACTGTGACATAGCTGCAGTATTGCTGATGGGGTATTCACTCACTTAAAGCTCCACATCAAGTTTTCATTGTATAGAGTTTGCTCTTGTTGTAGTGATTATATTTTTGGTACAAGTGTAGATTAAATTATATTTGGAAGAATATGAAAATTGCTAACTTACATACAGATTTAGGATGTTATATATATTTGTACAATGATACGTTTGCTTCATAATCCACTGTGCCTTGACTGGTACTTGCTCTCTGATGATTTGCGAAAAGCCAATGCCGATCAAAATTTATTTTTAACTAAATTCAGTTGTCCTCATTTGTTCTGTTGGCAATATCTTTGTACCCGGTACTTATTCCTCAGTTGTGGAAATAACTGATGATAAATTTGCTATAGTCCAGGGATAAGTGATATTCTGAATTACAGGGTTACACTGTAGTAAGTAGTTTTTATTTTGTCCCAGATTTGCAATTGAAAGCTTTTATTAGTGTATGTTTGTTGATGTGTTCATACACATTAAAGTATAATATCATTTTGTTATCCGTCCATATTCAGGTGTTTGCCTGTTGTAGTTGCTTGGTTGTTACTTCTATTTTTACCAAGAATACTTGGTTTTCAATACTTGGTTTTCAATACTTAGCATCGCGGTTTTGCTGAGTTTATTTGCTGTTTTATGTTGGTCAAGCTGTTGGGCCACATCCACGTCTTTAGATTGTTAATTGTGACATGTGAAGGTTTATTTTCTTCTCCCGTCCAATGCATCTATGTGTGTTGTATTTATCTGTAGAGTGTTGTGTTTTCCTGTTTTATCTTGCTGTCTAAATACATACATTTTGTTAAATATTTTTGTTGTAACTTACACTTATACATATTATTATTATCTGTTATGTTTCATAACCTTTGGGCAATATCTGCATACCATTGGTGTGTTTATTTGTATATTTTTTTATAAAGCAACAAAATTTACTTATTTGACCGATGTTCTGGGATATCAGTTTTTTTTTATCATTATCAGTCAATATCAACAAAATTATTTGTTCAAATCTGTGAATAAAATCACTAAATATCAACATTTTGCATGGTTTTGAATTTCCTTGTTTATATGAGTATGTGTAAATGTTTCACTGTCAACTATGTGTATTTCCTCAATGCCTTAATGTGTTAAACAATGTGCTATGGTTGTACTTGTTTTTCAAGTGCTCCAATGTTTTCTAGTAGAAAATATGTCACACCAGAAATAAGTCTAACTGCAAATAATGCCATAATTGATGTCAACTTTTAAAATGATTGGCATATGAAACAGTAAATAAATGTGAATTCTCAGCAGGCGAGTTTTGATGTCATGTTTACAGAAGGATAGGATTGTGTCCTATCTAGGTTTGGTAATATGTATGAATCAGGTCACAGTTGTTACATTTCTCCAGTCTTTTTATATATATGAAATAAAACACTCTTCTGAAAATATGTTGTTTGTTGTGTAAGGGCTAGAGAACTCATGACAGTACTGTATGGGGCTATTGGGCTATAATGGTAGGTCAAACGTACAAGGCCCAAACAAGAGTGAGTGAGTGAGTTGGGTTTAACGCCACTTTTAACAGTATTCCAGTTATATCACGGCGTGTCAGCTTAATGTGGGAGAAAAGCCAGAAGTGATGCAGGTCTCAGACGTTTACCACTTCGGTGAAACCCACGAGCACGGGTATATTGCTGACAAACCTAGAAACATAATCGGGGCGAACCGGGATTCGAACCCACAATCATAAGTTTCTGGCGTGCCCAAGGGACGCAACTGTGCACAGCGAATCGCGGTGCCTTAGACGCCTGGCCATCCGTGCCCCCCGCCCAATCAAGAACAATCAGGCAGGAATGAGGTGGTGGATGTAGTTTTCAACATAATCACCCTTGTTTACAATATACCTCTGATCTGGCTCCCTGGCTTCTCAGTTCCTGTACTGAAGTAGTAGCATTGTGGAGCCACCCCCAGACACCCGTCTATAGGTCTTCAACTCCTTGGCATCCATGTCGTGATTCCGTGGTGCTGTGTTGCTTGGGGCAAGATCTGGAGACTAGACTGGATGAGGTACCTCTTCAAATCCACACTGGCACACATCAGCCCTTAAAGCTTGCAACACAGTGTTGTAAAAGAACTATTGTAGTTTATACAAAGGTTATTTTCATTAGTTATCTTTCAAATCTTTTGCTCTTGACAAAAAAGTCATAGGCTGATTTAAGAGTTTTGATGTTGGTTGAAATCAATGAGTGAAGTGTTTCCATATAAACTGTTTAGATTATAACAGTTGGTGGAAAAATACATACTATATCCGGGACCGTGGGTTCATGGGTCTGGAGTGAAAAGTGACGTTAGTGCACTGTTCACTTTATACACCAATTTGCTATTAATGGGACTTGAGTATTTGGCTGTGCTCGCTGGCCAGGGCATCCCCCACACCCAGCAACCTTAAACACCAAACAAACAAATAACATTAATATGTTTATTTTACTAGCTACAGTAAATTATTTTCCTGGTGCGGTATTGTCATGAGCAATCTTGTTTGTTTACAGATTCAAATTTCGTTGAAACGAAATAAAAAGGATGGTGGTGTGAACGCACTGTCTTATCAATTTGCGAGAAGCAGTCCGTGTTTACAAGTAAAAGAAGCGTCCGTATAATATGGCATAGACACCGCCAAGGAACAAGTTATTGTATCGCTTGTTGTTTATCACCGGACTCATAATATTCCATTTTTATGGCGTCCGTGTGTAGGTTGTTTGTTGTTTAACGCCGCACTCAGCAATATTCCAGCTATTTACGGCAGTCTGTAAATAATCAAGTCTGGACCAGACAACCCAGTGATTGACATCATGAGCATCGACCCACGCACGTTGTACATGAATAAGTTTGAACATTTATACACCAAATGATACAGTCATCTATCCCCCGAATCGTTGCCCGGGACATGTTGCATCATGTTCCAATGTACCTTTTCACTCTGTCAACTCTGCTTCACCTGCGCCGGGATCGAACACACGGCGAGAGGTTCAAAATTACGTCCAGACGGTGTTGTGAAAGATGCAATTGAATGGCGTGAGCGAAGATAGAAGACAATGGGCGGTGGTATTGACATCTGACGTGAATATTGTGAAGTTTTATCTGCCAAAGATAGTTGTATGTCGAGACAGTAAACCCATCTCCAAATTTACGAATCATCGCCGTTTTAACCAGTCTGCCAAAATGTAACGAAAATGATAATTTACACAAGATAAAACAACTAGTTTACATGATAGAGGTAAATATCTTTATGTTTGACTCTCTGTATTATAGTCAATCGGTATCTCCACATGCCCGCCACATACACCAGTCTCTGTGTGGTCTCTTTGAACTTTCACGCTTTCACGATAAGCTGATGCACACTATGATAAAAGAACTCTGTGCAGATTATATTAATAACAAATGCCCATAAAGACAATAACTGCAATGGTATAAGTTTAACATTCAGCCATTTTCTATAATCCCTGTTCAGAGGTGATCTATGCCAGAGGTTTTTCAAGGATTGCGCATGACATAAACGTGAAGTGAGGTGTTTCGTGAAGATTACGTCGGCCATGTTCAAAGAAGCAAAAAGAAAATACGAGTTACTGTGAATTGCCTTTTCATATCAATGTGTGTATTAAAGAATGTGACCTTTCGTCTATGCAAGACATGTGTTGGAGACCATCCAAAATTAACTCACGCACACCAAGTAGGTTTTTATTGTTGTGTATTCTAACAAAGGTATCCCTTACTTCGAGTTAGACATCTCATGTTTCAACTGTAGAATGACTGTCATGTCTTTTCATATTTGTGTATTTCATCTTACGACCCTCTCCACAAATAAGTCATGCCATTTGTTGTTGTTCTCAAATTTAATATTTGTGTCATCGTGAACAGAAACTGTACATGTGGTCCGAATCTTGATTTGACATATCTTGGCTAATGGGTATATTTTCATCCGGATGACATTACTCCAGATCGGTTATCATATGATCCGAAATTTGAAGACAATGCTCCAGATTATTGGTCATCTGATCCGAATCTTGATGACACTGCTCTACATTATTGGTCATCTGATCCGAATCTTGATGTCACTGCTCCAGATTATTGGTCATCTGATCCGAATCTTGATGACACTGCTCTACATTATTGGTCATCTGATCCGAATCTTGATGACAATGCTCCAGATTATTAGTCATCTGGTCATCAAGTCATTGGTTATCTTTGGGTCTGAATCTTGATGACATTATTCTTGGTCATTGGTCGTCCTCTGATCTGAATCTTGAAGACAGATTACTCCAGGTTATTGATGATCTTCTGATCCCAATCTTGATGACATTACCTTAGGTCCCTGTTTACCTTCTGATCCGAATTATGGCGAAGTCAGTCTAATCCATTAGTTATTTTCTGATCCGAATCTTAATTACATCCCTCCAACTTTGGGCATCTTATCACTGCAAAATCTCGATAACATAAATCTGGATCCTTGGCCAACTAGGCAATCATGAAAAGAGATTTCTCGGGGCCCTTTCCATCTCCTAAATGGTACACGTAAAAACGCTCGGGTTAACCACTGAGCTTAGCTATCAAATATAACCGGACAAGTAACATGTGTGAAAGTCTGGACCCATGTATTCATGGAACAGACTAATTCGGTTAGTGTGGCATTTCTCCATCAGCCGCCGGCCTATAGAAGCATGTACCTGGTGTGTGCTCCACGAGGAGGGTTTATCCGGGGTGATGGCTGGGTATGACAGGAATGCCTGCTTCATGCGTCTCGTAGTCGAGGTCGTTCATTCATAACCACGACTACAAATACCATCTTCCAGTATGATAAACCCTCATTAACCTTCTGACAGCCATCGGAGCGAGGGGATAGCCTAGTGTTAAAAGCGTTCGCTCGTCACGCCGAATGTCCAGGTTCGATTCCCCTCATGTGTACTATATGTGAAAGTGGCATGGGTGGCCCGGTCGTCTAAGGCGCCGCAATTCGCCGTGAAGCCTCTGATTGTGGGTCGAATCCCGGTTCGTCGACGTCCCGTTCATGTTTCAAGTTTTGTCAGCACCACACCCGTGTTCATGGGTTTCACTTAGGGCTCATCTCCCACATTAAGCTGACACGCCGTGATATAACTGTAAAACCTTTAACTGCGACGTTAAACCCAACCCACTTACTCACTACTATATGTGAAGCGCTCATTACGTCAGTGGTCACGGACTATAAACCTATCATTAGTCCGGACAAGTACAAGCGCGCGCGCACACACGCACGCAGAGAGAGAGAGAGAGAGAGAGAGAGAGAGAGAGAGAGAGAGAGAGAGAGAGAGAGAGTATGGTTTTACGTCGCTTTTAGCAATATTCAAGCAATATCACGCGGCGGGGACACCAGAAATAGGCTTCACACATTGTACCCATGTCAGGAATCGAACCCGGGCCTTCGGTGTGACGAGCGAACGCTTTAACCACTTGGCTACCCTGACACCCGAAGATCGGCAACAAAGAAAACTACAAGAAGCCATTGACATCAGGAGCCAGCCATGAACCGTGACCAGGAAATCTATCTGCCCAGTGCTTGGGACTTATTGCATTGATTATTGTCTGCGCTAATTATCCAGCTGGCTTCCATTCGTCCAATATCACGGCGGGGACACCAAAAATAGGCTTCACACATTGTATCCATGTCAGGAATCGAACCCGGGTCTTCGGCGTGACAAGCGAACGCTTTAACCACCAGGCTACCCGACCGCCCCTCGTCCGTTCAGAAGAGTGAGTGAGTGAGTGAGTGAGTATGGTTTTAACGCCGCTTTTAGCAATATTCCAGCAATATCACGGCGGGGGACACCCGTTCAGAAGAAGATCCGGGATATAATTGGCCTTCAGCATACCATGCTAGTTGTTTGAGGCAACTTAGTTAATTGCATGCCACCATAGCCCTGTTGCATGGATCGATGCTCATGATGTCAATCACTGGATTTTCTGGTCCAAACTCGATTATTTAAAGACCACCGTCATGTAGCTGGAATATTGCTGAGTGCGGCGTTAAGCATGGCCTGGGGATCGAACTGCCGATCTTCCGCTCTCCGGGCAGATGCACTATCCACTACACCAAAACGTCGTATACGTGGTTTAACAGACATATCACATGACAACATATTCATCAGGATAGATGATTTCTTTCTCCGTAAAAAATAGCTACCCGACCAAGCTTCAGGAAAGTTACTCAAAATATCTCATGTGATCATGAGCTTTAAATGTCATATATGTTGTGAGATAATCAGTATGTGATAATTGTCGACAAAATAATTTTCGTTTTTGTAAAGATTTATTACGTAGTCATTTTGTTTTTCCTCATCAAACAATACCGTTATGTTCATGCCACGTGACCAATGGGCAACCCATCTGCCAGACTATTGCAGGTTCCTGTTCTGACC